CGATTCATCCTTGGACTTACAGACCCCAGCCAGGACGAGGAGCCCCAAATACACATCTAAATGTGTTTTGTCCAGCTCCTTCCACTTCCCCAAAAACAAGCCTCCCTTCAAGATTAGTCATTTCCAGAATGATTTTCTGTATTGAATCTGGCATGACCAGCTCAAAAGCTGACTTGATGTCAGTCACACGAGTCACTGCCATCCTAGTGGGCCCTGGCACTGTCTTCATTATGTTTTGTGCAGACAGTTTTGCCTGACGCATATTTGGGGATGAAGACAACTGTATTTCACCATTTTTTTTACATGAATGTCATGCTTGGAGGAATAGGAATAGCAATTCCATCATCAGGTTCAAAATCAGAATCATTAGAATCAGAATTTAGCTCAAGATAGTCTTCATCTTCAGACACATTCTCCTGTGTGTGTGTGTGTGTGTGTGTGTGTGTATGTGTATGTGTATGTGTGTGTGTGTGTGCGTGTGCGTGTGTGCGCGCGTGTGAGTTGTGGTTTCAAAATACTTTTAATGGTGTCAAGGAATAAAAGGAGTTTTTACCTCTGAATGAATTCCAAAACACAGGCTGCCTCATCTTGATACTGAAGGTTGAATATGTAGTAGATTGCTAACACAGCAGCAAGTCCTGTTACAAATGTCGGTGTGATGCCCTCAGAGATTACACGGCCCTCAAGAGTGATCCTCCAACCTCTAACTGTGACTTGCCCTTTTGCACCTGAAACTTAAATCATGGCAACATGAAATTGCATCTCACTGTATGTCAACATTTGTAAACTCAAGATGACCAGCATGGCATATTACAAAAAATAAATAAAAACATGACAAAAATATTTAGTGACAAATTTCTGAATGAAGATCAGACAGAACAAAATTTTGAATTGTAAAAATGAAGAGACTGAATTATACTTTTTTTTATCTTTAAACAACTGTTTAGCAGTACCTTTAGAAATATGATGAGGTGATCCACTGCTTGAGATGCAGACATCTTACCCGGCCTCTTTCGTCCTTGTGCAGATGGTGGTAGCAGATGCAGCAGAAGCAAAATAGCAGACATGTCACTATCCCAACCTATAGACCAACAGCTTCAGGTTAACATCATCCCACTAGCATATGAATTTGTCACAATTACCTAGAAGACCAACATACCATTCTTAGCTTCAGCAGCCAACTCTGCATTCCGCAATAAATCCAAGAGCTCAGTGGTGGGTACCAGGCCATGGCTTTCCTTTATAACTTTGGATTTGAGACTGTTGGGCCACTTCTCCAAAAATGTATTGGCTGCGCCTTCGCCAAGCAGGAGTCTGAAATGTTGTTCTATCTGAAATGCATTAAAAAAAAGCATTTCACACAGTAATAAGACAGTAAATGGCCTGTACTTGCACAGTGCTTTATAAAGTCCAGACGACCCCAAAGTGATTTACACCACATTTAGTCATTTACATGCTGATGGTGGTGAGCTACATTGTATCCGTAGTTGCACAAGGGAAGACTGACATAAGCAATGCTGCCAGGTGCTTGTGCCACCAGGCCTTCTGAACACCACCAGCAGGCAAGGCAGGTGAAGTGTCTTGCCAAAGGACGTAACAATTTAGAAAGAGTTGGGTTTCAAACTGGTGATACACAAGTTACAGGACAAACTCCTATGACTGTTGCCACTAAGTATTTTAGTAGTGTAAGAGATAAAACTGTCTTACCAGTCCTGGTGTGTCCAGAAACCGTGGAAAGACAGAGAAGACAGCTGCTGCTTTCTTTTCATCATTGACCATTGAATGACGGTAATGGAAGGTAGCCTTCATCTTCTCACGGACAGTGTCATCATAAGCAGAGTGTTTCAAAACAGCAATAGCTGCTTCCACTTCCTCATCTGACAGCACTTTGTCAGCAGTGAAAACCCTGGATTGACCATGGCCTGGTCACCAACCAAGAAAGTTTCTAACTCCCAGCCACAGATTTTACATTACTTTACATATATACTCAATATTGAGAAAACTTACTTTTTGGAGATTTGCTACCAGAGGCACCCCTTTCCTCTGCAGTTTTTCTTTGAATGGTCTTTAAACGCCATGCAAGGTATCCTGAACCGCTCTCTGTATCATAGTAATGCTCCTGTCAATAAATACAAACAGACTTACCATTCCATAAACATCTTTGAGGGTAGATATATATGCTTAATGTTGCTAAGACCGTTTTACTTACATATCCATGTTTTGAAAACGGGTCCTCCAGATAGGGAAATAGAGTGATGTATGCTCAGGGGATCGTTGCCCTGACGCTTTTAGGAGGGGATGATCTGATATATGATCAAACAATGAGTCACTAAATTGAGGTTTGAAAAAGTAATGAACAATTCAAAACCAAAATGTTTCTTTATAGTTTAAGTGTATGATTCTTACCCATGTGCTTCTGTCATTGCAGCTGTAAGGATGTTTATCATCTGTCTTCTAGTTGCATCTGTCAAGCATTTAGTTCTTGCATACTCCTGCATGATACGCTCACCACCAGGCTTTGTTGTCAAGATTTTTTCAATCAACTTCAATTTCAAAGAGAAAAAACGTAAAAGCTCTTGAACCACTAAACCTAGAAAGTGCATAAACAATGCTAAATTAAATATAATAACTTACTGCTTGCGCCTCATAATTTATGTGACATGGCCTTTTAGGTAGACTTCCTTCAGCAGTGGCTTCTTCTTCTGATGGGTCACACATTGAGAAATTCAGGATGATAGTATCATCCTGTGGCAGGACGACCTTTAGCGGTTGGATTTTTTGTTTAGTGAGCATGAGTCTTGAGCCAGAGTCAGGTGGAGAACAGCAGCAGTTTATTTTCCACTCATCATCAACCCTCTCCTTCACAGCTGAAACTGCAGTCTTAAATAGTCCCAGCTGTGACGAACCAAACCATATTAAATTCACAGGGGGATCTCTTAATCAATCTCCACCTATTTACCTAAAATACATTTTCTTAAATACAATACTTCTATTTACTTTTTATAGATATTTTCTATTTTATCATTACACCTTAAATAAACACCACAAAACCCACAAACAATTCCCCCCCTAGTCCTTTCAATGGCCTCTCCCAGAATCTATATATGGTGTCTGGACCCCCGGGGTAGAATTTGTCCAAACACCCTGGAGAGGACAGAGAAAAGACAGGTGAGTCACTTTACCACAGCACTCCACACTCAACAGATTATGCACACATTTGCTTAGTTTTTCCTCACCATTAGCTCATTGCTCTGAGTAACAATTATGCTCCTCCACAGGCAACAGCAACCAACCTCACCCATCAATGAGGAGCAGCCGTGCAGAGCCCAAAACAAAGGCTACATAATGCTCAATAAATATAATTACCTTCTTGTGTGCAAATTTATTGTTGTGCAAATCTCTGCTTAAAGTGCAAATGCTAAATAAAGTGCAAAAATACCTTTTTACGTGCCATACAGTGCTACAAGTGTAAAATAGTCTCAGTAATGAAGATCTCTTCATTACAGTATCCTTTTATGAGACACAACTGTGTTGACAGTTGTACTTGTTACATTGCATTCATATTCATAATAAAATCGTTTTCTAATTTCTTTCTCTTTTTTGCACATTAGATTTCTTTTGTAGAAGGTTATAAAAGGAGTATTCTTTTTTGTTTTACTGGGCACAACTTGGTAAATTCCTTTATCTTAAACTTATTAAATGAGTGCACTATACACATAGGCAATTTTTTTAAGCACTTGTGATTTATTTTTGGGGATGTCAAAACAATGGATTGTTCTTTGTTGACAGAATACAAAATAAATACATTTTGAATAAAGTGTAGAGTCTGTTTATGATTTGCTGTTGCACTGTAAATTGATTGGCCATAATACTGAAAAAACATATATATGTCAAGAGTAAGGACAACATTTGTTCTCTTATCAAATTAATACCAACTGCAAACAACAGCATATTGGTTATATGTTAGTAATGACATGATTAAAACATTGCTTGTACATGTAATACTCCTGTCCATATATCAACAGTTTCCCTGGACAAGTAAGGCTAAGAAAACAGAGAACCTGCAAATGTTGGTACTATTTAGTACTGTTTTGAACAAGAGACTAGTATTTTACATTAATACATAAGATTAAATACATAGAAATGAATAAATTGACCTTGACCACAAGATTAAAGGAAACTAAAATGCATAGTCTTTTTAAGTAAACCATGGAAACAAATTGTAACTCATTCATGCATTTTAGTTTTACAATCACACAGTGTTTACACAGCACATATGTACATAATATCTGACTTGTTAGATGTTTTGTGGACCTGGGTGACTTAGAGAAACTATTCCCTCAGCCCATCACTGATCATTTGACGGAGTCTTACATAAAGATTAGTAATTT